AAAACAGCGCTCGTTCCATCGGGGTGAGAGGGTGCTGACAAAGGACTGCAGGGGTAGAGCAAGCAAAGTGGACGTTTCGACGTGTTCGCCGGAAATGCAGTGACGTCATCGAGATTCTGGTCAGATCAGACATCTCAGTTGCACTAGCGTGCCAAGTCCAGGCTCAACTAAAGCGTTGGGACTGCAACAGGGCACATGTGCTTTGACAAAACCACGACAAGAAACTGTCCCCAGGGTTGACGATCTCTTCAGCCACTTAGACGATAGGGGCTGAACAAAGACGCGAAAAGTACCACTGCAAATGAGTCTGCGGCTCACATCTTACCATTTAACTCAGAGAGGGGTGTTAGGACGCCGCCCTAACGATCCACCTGCACACCGAGCGCGTGTTGATGTCGCGTCAGATGAGCTAGAAGCCCAGCCCACATACTACCTGACCAGTCGAAACCCAGTCCGACCCTGAACATTCCCGCATGTCCTTTTTTGCTTTATATGTGCAGTTAGAACACACTGATACACTTCCTTTCGTCCTTACTACTGAGTTCTGACTCGGCAATTTGATCAGGGAGAGTTGCTGAACGGGCGACCAGTGAGGCGTGGGGTAAGTCCATAACAATTACAAATCAAAAATTCCCCCAACTAGAACGGCTGTTCAGACACGCCGGTTCTGATGTTCACGAGGGCCAGCAGCCAAATATATCCATCGACTGCCCTGATGCCGCTATCTGACTGGTTTATTAACAAGACCTGCACACACCCGTGGCCCCCTGTCAGTGCTCAACTCCAACCATTTGCTTGTTCCACCTCAATAAAGACTGTCGACTCAGTTTCGTCCCACTCAATCCGGACTTCAAAACGTGCCTTCCTCCTGAGTCATACCCAGGCAGGGTATGATTGTCCCTGTACGGGATGAGATTGTATCCAAGCCTGATAAGAGTCAACCCGTGCGCACATATCGAAAACATCGCAGTTCAACATGGATTCAGAAAGTAGGAAGCAGTTTAGAACGATCTCTCGGGCTATCAGTACACTACTGCCCTACACGACAGTTCGACCATCGCGAACGGTGACATCAACCACGGGCCCCACAGAGTCGGCGCACGACGGTGACTTCACGAATTCGTCTACAGTGAGGCCGACTTGTGCAGAATTTAGCGAGCTCTCCCCCCCCTCACCCACCTGGCTCCGGTAGCAGGTGCTAGGACGACGGGAAGCGAACTCGAGCGCAGTTCGAGATCCCCCCCCCTCCAGTTAAGCGTATGTCTCAAATGGGTCCTTTAGGGCTTCTGCAGATGTAGGAATGTCAAAAAGTATATGCAAAATCTTGGCTGCCGACAAACGGTGTATATTTAAGTAATACGACCTTCAGCAGTTTAAAAAAGACTACCCCAAGTAAGGATCAGGGATTTAATAACGGCCTAGAGGACAATAATACTGAGATTCGTCTCTCCCTCACCCACATTTACACGCTGCTACTCTGGAGGGGCTGCCCGGCTGAGAAAAAGTATTCATTTCAGTAGAGGGGTGTGCCGGCAGACCGTGCTTCCCGTTTTTGGATCGCAAAATATCACTCCTTCCCAGCCAAACCTATTCCAACTGGTTCTGGAGTGACGATACACGTGAGTAACTCACTTGAATTTGGCAAAGATAAACATAATCTCTGTCACCAAGCGGGCCTGAAAGTTCCGCGCAATGTGGCGAGGCGAGCGGTTCGAAACATTGCCCAGCTCAACTGCACCTGGTTTTACGGCGTCCCTACATATTTGAAAGCGGCGGTCTCTTGCTGCTGTGGGTTGTTCACTTTATACACGTTATCACTAATCAAAGTTGTCAGCCAGCTTGAGTGACTGGACTTCTATACCGGCCTCAAGTCTGTAACGTCCGAGACAACATGAGAGTAGTTCGTTAATCGTGGGTGCGTGGCGTCGACACCAGCAACGAGGATGACTCTGAACACGCTCGCGTGAGGCGTCGGCCACGATTCAGATTAGATGCTATCGCAAGGGTATGCCCTGCGAGCGTGCATAGCCGACCGCCTCAAGGAGTCTGTCAATGTGAAGGGCTTCCCTCCGACTCTAGATGCTTTTTTGCCCTGACCCAGACAGCAGTCCCTTCTGAGACCTCTGCAGGGGAAACTAGTGGATGGTACCTGAAGCACGTCCCAGAAGCGCACGGGAGGTGCTGAATCATGGCGGGGCCGCCGAAGGAAATAAAGTCGCATTTGATGTGATCCACTGACAGACAATAAAGTGCTGTTTGCCATTGTGATCAGTGTGAGGACCGAGCCGCTTCCCTCAGGATAAGGCTTCTCTCCGGATTCGGTACATTGTGGGTGCTCTCGGATGATATACACCACTTGGAATTATTCGATTGAGGATGTTTTCGTTTTGTTCTTCCGAGTCGCCTCTGAAATCACGTCTTTGGAACACGCCTGTCATACAGCGGTAAACAAAACCCGTCATAAGAGCCCCTACTCGTCTACGAGAATGGACAGTGCCTATCTCAAAGAGAAATCACCTGGAATACCTGCTAACCTAAACTCGGTACGTGGCTGGCACAACTTCGATGTTGCCAGTAGAAGACATGGGTGGACGCAGTGACAGTCGACTTCGAGTGCACCTTCTCTCCTATGGTTTCGCAGCTAGTGTGTCAACGACCTCAAATTCGACTGGGAGTTGGCTATCGGCTGATGAAAATGGAAAGCGGCGTTGACAATACGGTTAACATGCGAATTAGAGTCGAGTGAATCGGTCGTGATTAATGCCGTCACAAGTACACTTGGCACGGTACAAGCACTGACAGTAGCGTCTAATGGGAGATGCAACGTGGGCAAGAGGGATGACTGGCGATGCAAAGGGGAAATGACGACGCCTAATAATTATTTCTACGCAGACATGTGAGAGAGCGGAATGTAATAACATAAAATCCCTCGTGCACTCGCAACGGTCAGACGGATAAGGCCGGGTGACATCTTCAATCTTAGCTATGAACCATTTTTATTCTCGACAGGATGGACCAATGCACCACTGCATAGGCGCTGTACGGCTCAAACACTGCAAAAAAAATTAAGAAGCAACAAGACGTACAAAGGGAAGACACCGGAAAACAAACTCCGGACGGTCGACTTCAAGGTGAGTGAATTTCAGACCACAGAATACCATTTCCCAGCCACAAACAGGCTACTATGATCATTGGCATCATTACAGCAGTCGCCGCAAACAGCATAGTCATCGACTATGAGTATGAGGTAAGGACACTTCAGCTGGGCCTGACGCCATTCATCATGCGTAGATTCGAATGCAGAATATGAGAACGTTTTGGACAGATGCTGTGCATGGTGTTGTTAGTACCCAACGACGAGTAAGAAGACGAATTTCCCGTGTGGTGAATCACTCTCATATAACAGAATGCTGTTAATCGATGATCTGTGGTGCCAACTGCACTGTGATATGGGCGCTTCAACTCATCTTCCAGTATGCACAAACGTAACTCCCTAGTTGAGACGGCTTGAGGGCACAGTAGACACTCAAGCTTTTGAAAGAGGATACATCTATTACCGTGTTTACAATTACCGTGACGGTGTTCGAAAAAGGCGCGTATTGGGCACGCAGTGGGAATACTAGTCGACAAAAACTTCTGTAACTGGATGCGCATGACAGATAGGCAATGAAGAACCTATCGGTATCAGGAAACTGCTTACTGCGATAAACAGGAGTCTTTCGGTAACACCAATTGCTGTCGTGGTGTTTTCAGAAAGTCATAAAGGACCTTGACAGTGCTGAAGGGTCACCTGTAGGTGGGGTGCCACCTCACTACCCGAACGAAAGTGACTTCCGACAGCATATCTGCGACGTAAATGGACATGAAGATCAAGTGACTGCGCGCAGTAGGCCCATACACAGTAAGCTACTACTCCGCCTTTTCTGCTCCATACCTCAGGGTGATCAAACATGCAGATAGATGTCTGCGACCTGCTACCTGGTCCTTAAAAGCTTCCATCCGGCCCGACTATCGTATAAACGGCCTTGTAAACTCGGACAAAAGCCAAAGACGTAACTCGATGCAGATAAACTATCATGTTTTACCCAGAAGTGAGTAAGTGGGGGGGGGGGGCATGGTAATGGGCCGGACCGGAAAACTTGTCATCAATCACTACAGGCTGAAAACCGGTCATGGGAATGCGACATGGTGAATTTGAGCACTCGTTTTCCGTAAACGTGAATATACCAAAGCGCCAATGCCAGTTTAGATGAGTAGAAAGCCCGGGAGACGCAAGGCGTCGGATATAGAGGCCCAACAGCAAACAACGCAATGCGTTGCTTGCGTTCTTATTATTTAGGAAATTGGTCACTGATACTGCCGAGCTTCGATTAATTTCAAAAAGAATACGACGTAGTCCAGTGGGCTAAAAGGGAATAATGCCTGCGCAAACATTAACAGAGGCAGCTCGTGACTCTCCCTATCTGGTTATACTCACAGTATGCAACCAAAGTCAATAGACGGAGCGAGCCGATCAGAATATATCGTAAGGCGAAAAAACTAGAAAAACTTCCACCGATTCATCTTAGTAAGCCTGTTTCGACTGTCAGCACCGAAAAATGGGAAAACTTGACAGGAAGTGCCATGGTGGGCGTAAGTAGTACACGATAAATGCCCTCAGGTTCGATGAGGACAGCAAGTAGAAAGTGTATAGGCAGGGCGGGACCCTTAGCGGACTAAGAAAACATTAACATGTAGAGAAATGGTAGGACGAAATCGCCTTTCCCCGCCAATATAGCGTCACAGCGCTTGCAAAGCAATCAAAGTATCATGAACGAATAGTCTTACATAGCCCACGGTTTCAAAACAGGAATTTTATGTACATGTGTCCAAGTGTCTGACTAGAAAGGTAGACCATACGTTAAAGAGACCGTGCGAATAGACTGAAAGATCATGTAAAAAGTGCGGGCTGGAACGAAAATGCAAAATTTATTTTAAAAGAAACAACCTGTTGCAATGATTTAAAGGTTCTTAGTTTCCCAATCAGCAACGACTTTCGGTTTTTCCCATGTTGTCTCGCCTGTCTGAGCGTTGTGGTAATAGGGTTTGCCATCAGCACTCTGGTACTCCTTCCATACAGCTACTTCAGGTGGCTTTTGTGTAGGCGTACTCGAGGCCGCCTGCGAAGACGAGACTACACGAGAACTATCGGTAGAAGTGGGTTTTGTCTTCTTGCTAGCAGCCTGTTCGCTTTCTGTTTTTCCTTGACGAAGTATGGTCACGCCCTCCGGTCGATCCCATCTCGTCTCGCGAGTTTGCATGTTGTAGTAGTACACTAGGCCATCGGAAGCCGAACTTTCAACCCAAATCTCTTCCGCTTTCGATGTGGAAACCAATCCACCAACGGTAGCTACAACGCCCTGACTAAGAGTTCTTGTCGGGAATAATTGGGGGACCGGAGCCAAAACCGGAGGTGCTGCCAAGGGGGTTGGACCCGGTTGAGGGCTTAGTTTAGGCGTTGCTAACACGCCAGGCGCAGGACGCATGGCATAAAAGTTGGCCGGTGGCGGTCGCACAAATGCTGGAGGCTGAAAGGGCAGTTGGTGTGGGGTCTGGGGTAATCCAGGAGTCAATAAGGGCGGGGGGACACCTAGTGGGAACATGTTGGGATGGTAAAGACCTGGGGGAGAGTAAAAAGGTGCACCTACTGAATAAGGTGATGGGGTGCCTGCCGTCGCAGTCAGGTTTGGTTGGTTCGACGAAGTCGCAATGGCCAAGGTGGCCGGAGGAGCGGCGCTTGAGGATGAGACGGGTGCCCGTGGATAACTCGGAACCGGCGGCAGTGGAGTCGATGAAGTCGATGTGGGGGTGAAAGTTGAAACCCCGGTACTAACAGACGTTGATTGAGGTGGGGGGCAAGGCAGAGGTGGGAAAGGGGGTGGGAGAGAGCGGTTGAAGGATGGATTATTTACAGGATTGTTGGAAGGAGGGACGCTAGAACTAGGCAGAGCGGCTGACGATTGTACGTTAGGGGCACCTACAGGGGCTGAATGGGGGGCGAAATTTGGTGGCATGGCAAAAGGCGGTGGAGGAAGATTTGGAGATGGCATCAGATTCGGAGGCAGTACGGGGGGTGGGGGCATGCGAATCCCAGGAGCTGAAATTTTCAAAGAAACAGTGGTATATAAATCACAAGAAAGAAATAGGCGGTCCGAGGGATGACATATGAGAACTTTCAATAAAGCCGTCACTAATTAGGTGATCATCCAACAGTTTTAATTACTTAGTATCAAACATACCAAACTCAAGCGTTATCGGCGAAAGGTGGAAAGAATGCCGACAGGGCAACGTCAAGACTACTGTTGGAGCATGTAAAGACCTAACGTTGGCGTAGGTATGCGCAAATCTGAGACCCTGCATGTCTACGGTCTACTGTGACATTTTTATTCATTGTGGCCACCCCCGCTATCACAAATAAAGGCGTCATATTCACTTTTCTGGCACTTGCGAAGATCACTGACCGCGTCTAGAAAACGGTAATAATTCTAGCAGGCAGGGAGGTCACTGTGACGACCACCAACTTTAACCGGACTCCCTTGGAAAAAGGCATTAATTAGACTAAAAGAAGATTAACGCACCCGAAAAGCCGTGTGGTGGTGACGGTCCTACCGGTGGAAAATACGGAGGATTTTCAGGAGGCCCCGCAGGCAAAGATCCATTCGCGTTAGGCTCGGACATCTGAGCATTGTCAGGAGAAATAAACAGTTTTGACGAGGTTATACTTCCAGATTCACTGCTCGGCGGATCAGCTGGCCGGACTGAACCATTCTGATGCCGCCAGTTCATGTTTGCGGGGGGACCACAGTCACCACTAGGCCCATGGAAAGGTGGCCTGATCGGTTGCGGTGGTGGAGCTCCACCCAACCATCTAGGGGGATTGCTGCCCTCGGTCCAGTTTGGTCTTACGCCCGGTGGAGGCATCCGAAAATCAGCAGCCCTCCCGCCGCTATTATAGAAAGCACCTTGCTGATTGTAGGAACCTTGAAATCGCGGTGGAAAACGAGATGGCGATCTCCCATAACCGCCAGGTGGACAATCAAAAGGACGTGTAGGTCTGATAAAATGTCCTCTCTGTCCTCTGAAAGCCTGAACCATGTGTGGCCGCAGCATATGACTAAGTTTGGGAATGCTAATCAAAAAATCGGTGTACCTAGGTGCTCCATTCACAGGCATGCCTCGAGGTCCACGTAACGGGGGTCGGCCGTAATCAGGTCGACACATTGGCGGGACATCAGGTCGGAAGGAAGGGTTTGTATCAGCATGCTCGGGAAATCTATTCAATGAAAGAAAATGTGTGAAGAAACGCCTTAGGATACATAAAATTATGAGACTAGACGACAAACAAATTCAGTTCGCAGGAGCTCCGATTGCGTTAGGCACCAGAGATAGACATTTACCAGTCCGTTTGATCTGTGGGCTAGTAATCTAATTGGTTGACAGTACTCGGCCTACGCGAGGGAAGGAGCTTTCTTGCAAACCCCCCTCCTCGATGTTCACCCGAGTGCCTTTTGGACGTCACGCCTGCGGGGTCCCTTTGCCCGGATGCACGCATGCAGGGATGCACGCACACACTTTATCCGGAACTTTAGACGCCCGTCTGGCGATTTAAATCGCTTTAGGTGACAACGCCTCTAACTCGCCCGAGAAGGCGCGTCAATTACTGGACAGTATCTGCGAAGATTGCTGAAAATTTTCAGTCAATCGCAATACTAACCCGCCACCGGGCTAGCCCTGGGCGATTAGAATGCTATTAGGGTGTGTGGCTGGAGTTGGGGTCGATCAGTCACCGCACGCTACAGTTGTCTACACAGGACTGGACAGCAGCATGAAAGTTAGCTGAACGGCAAATATTAGTCATAGGCAGTAAGGAGAGGACAACCAGTTACGGCAGAGGATTTTAGGATTATCTGCCTTTAAAAGATGACTAGATGGACGTAAACTTTAGTTACTGATGCGTTATTTGCGAAAGAGACTGACGTTAACTTAATTTCAGTAATTACATGACAGATAGATGGGGTTTAACGGAAAGACACGGCGTAAAGGCAAGATGCAATTGGTAACAAAAAATACCTTGTCTCAACCCTCGGTACTTTCGCCTTTGGGCTCTCTTGCGAGGTGCTGCGGTCGCTATGGTCCCCATCCACATAAACTCCGTTATCGCCGTTCATGTTTTGAAAAATTGAAACCACCTTGAGAAGTACCGTACTAAAAGAAGATTTAAAATGGAGGCTCATCGTCAGGCGAAGACACTAAATACCACGTTTTATTTTACCGTTTTCAGTTTTCGTGCATTTTTGATGAGGCCATTAAGATGTAATGTCCTCACTTAGTCAGTATAACTTTTTATTGGCAGATGAATATTCGGAAGGCTAACGTCCAGTTACACTTCAAACTCCGAGTTCGCTCACTGTCGTGCATTTGAGTTTGTGGCTGTTTAGGGGTTTTTCTGCACTTCGCAGTGAATCGTCTGCAATAATCAAGATGCGACAGAAGTCTGTTAGAGAAGCAGCAGGTGCTCAAAGGAGAGTTCTGGGCGTTTTGATGGCTAGTGCATAGGCTGCAATAAAAAGACTGTTCACAATAAGAAAACTGAAAAAGGTTATTTAAAACCTTCCTTTAGATGATCTTACCAAAACAAAGCGACAGGGCTTTAAAATAAAGGCAAGAGGAATTGTAAAAAATGCACAAAACTCGTTTGTACGCAGGACAGGAAATATGAACAATATTTCGTTAAATAATACGGAACGCCCATATTAAGCGGTAGCGCATGCACAGTTCGTGTATGCATAGTTTCTATACATGTCCGGGAGATCTTATGTTACTGCCCAACGAGCGATCTCTCGGTCGGTTTTTACTCTTTTAAATGTTAAACCTGTAAAATTCACTATAAGTTGGCGCAAGCGCCCTATAAGCAATCGATATCAAGTACATAGACCGAAAAAGTGGTTTTGTTTGATACTATTTCCGGCACGTCATTAGTTATTCCGCTTATGCAAGCTGGCCGCTAAGTGACTGCCGTTTATAATTCGTGCGGCGACAACGTATTTGCCTACACGTCATCATCTCATGTGAACGACGTGAAGCGTTTGGCCTGACGGGCACTTTCTGCCCCTTGCTACTATTAACCTCTGTCTATACTGTTGTGATGCTCCTAGAAACAATAATTAGGTAGGAATCAGAGAGAACGATAAGAAGCCGACTTAGACGTATAGTTACGAGTTGTTCCGGGAAATCGATGAGGCTGTTCAGAGAAGACTCGGAATGGAAGCGTTCTCGCTAAGTGCGTCAGTTGGATGCAACGCTTTTCTTGAATTTGGAAAAAAATAAAGAAATTCGTAATCCCTAGTAGGCGCAGTAGAATGTACTCATACAGGACGCAAAAACCATGACCTCTACAGCTAACAGTGGTTCTATATACGTCAGTAAGTTACGTGATTGGGCATTGCGGTGTAATATAGCGTACGCTCACATTCAAGACCCTCGAAATATCTCTAGCCCGCTCCTCCCCCAACTGCCAATGGACCCAAGAACTCTGTTAGGAGCATCGTAAAATTTACAGGTAGCCACTATTGGCAGCGAATAATACATGGACAGTTGTCTAAAAAGGTAGCATTAAAAATTTTACGTATACGTAAGAATAATACCCGCTTGGCAGTTAATGTGGGAGTGTAACTGACTATTGGCGGTCCCCCGATCTATTCCTCTGACAAGTTTTTCTCACCGCCCACCAACCATTTTTCATAAGAATGAAGTGAATACTGTACAGAGTGTTTCTACCCTTTTTAAAATACACTTAAAATTTATTTTTATTTGCTCAGGTAGTACCCTAAGGGGTACTAGTAAAACAATTCATCTGTTGAGTTAGATCGCAGTCAGTGTTGTTTTTCTGGTGAGGACCCATCTGTGAGGTAGTTTGTGTCATCCCGTATGTACACCGCGATTTTCCCAGCCCTACTTTCATGTCGATTCATACGGAAGAGCTGACATCTGTCCAGCGTTACTTCGGAATCCGCTGTTTGCTCATTTAAGTATGTTTCAGTTAGGACTATAAAGTCAGGTTGCAAAGGTCTCACTGTCAATTTGATTTTATCTATTTTGTTGAATAAACCATGCACATTAATGTCCAACATTGTCATATTTTTGCTCTGTCGATCATTGGAAATTGTTTGTTGGTTCTTACGCCTGGCAACTACTGCTATATATTTTGCATTACATATCCAGTCCACCGTCCGGGTTTAAATCTACAAGTGTTTCAATGGACTGAGGACCGGTACGGTTACCTTCAATTCCACCGAAAGATTTTATATAAGTATGCGTTCCGTTTTTAGGATCCAATTGTCAACTATTTGCGGGTTTGTTTCTCATTTGCTCCGATGCCTTGTCGGTTCTGTTATCAGTGTCCTCCTTTTCACTCAATTGAGGGGAGAGTAATTTTGCTGAACAACGCTCCACGATGGCTGTGTCGTAGGCTGAATTTTCAAGACCAGCTTAGACCTGCCTGCTGCCTGCAACCCAAAATAACCTTCAACGGGTTTGATCGCACCTCCTCTGCTTGATTTCTAATTAAATGCTCCAAATGGAAGATTTTCTGAAGTTCAAACACTTCCTCTGATTCTTGCGTGTCACTCAAACAAATTTGGATTGTCAAAATATGGTGTTTGGTTCTCTCTTTTCGGGTTTTTATACCCAAATAGGGAGTTCAGTGAGGCAAACCGATCCCCCTTTAATACGCTGAACCCTGAATACGGAATCTAATAGGTCCCTCAAAGAAGACATCAGTGATGACAGTGAAGGCTATTAAGTGCTTCAGTGACTTTAAGGTCGTCCTTGCGAGTGCAACCTTGCTTGCCAACCCCCACGAAGAGCAACCAAGCTGGTCGGTGGATTAAGTTGCTCACCTTATGAGAGACGCCTGGAAAAACTAAAAATACTTTCCCTCTCATATAGACAACAAAGAGGGATATGATCATGGCCTGCAGGATCGTCCAAGGGCTAGACTGTGCTCTTCAGTTTGACGATTTCTTTGAACTTGCGCAGATGACCAATCTTCGAGTGCACCAATACAACTTGAAGCCAAAATATGTCAAACTCGAACTGCGGGCCAAATTCTTCTAACCCTGGCTGGTTGAAGGATGGAACAAATTGCCGAACGTCGTTTTCTTAGCGGAATACGTTGAGAGCTTCAAAAGAAGACTAGATAAATTTATGCTTGGTGGTCAAACATTTACACGATATCAATGACTGTCATAACTGTTATGTAAATATCTGCATGTTTTTTTTCATACATCTATCTGTAAATGGGGTTTTGCAAGGCTCTGCCTATATCCCTCATATATACTGAATTATAAAAATGCTAAACTCTGCAGCGCCCCACTGCAGTGTATTCGGCCGAGAACTTCCCGACGCCCACCTATCCAATAGCTTCTCAAGGGTCGCGAAATCCTCCAACTTACAGAATGCATGTTTTTCACTTTAGGCTAAGGGCCACCTCCCTCGTTACTCCCCTCCGTGAGGCCTCCCATCTAACCTCATCTCACACCTCCTGTGACACTGAACATGTTCGTGACAGAGAAATGAGCTTGCCGATGATTTGTCACGAATCGAGATGAACTTCGTCACGACATACCCCATAGAATTGATGCTCATGGCTGGCGCTCAACAATCTAAAAACTAACATCATACATTTCGCTACGGACACTCTTTCCTATATTCTCAAACTGCTCCTCTTGCCACTGGCGCTGGCATCCTCCTTTTTGACCATTCTACCAACCATAAACGTTCTTTTGTCTCAGTAACTTTTTGAAGACAGGTCTCAAACATCTTTCATGGTCTATCCCACCATGCAGTGAGCGCAAGAGTAGAGTTCATCACATGCCGATTAATCTGGCCCAACATTAGTCGGACGTACGGCGTTAGACTCGATCACTTGTTGTATACCAACGGGCCAAAATGAAGCGGCGTACCATTTTCACATTAGGCAACTTTGCAACTCCTGATGTCCGTTTTGCTCACATAAACCTTGACCTGGTAGGCCCTGTCGTAACTTATAACAGTTCTACCTATCTGCCGACCTACAATGGCCATTTTATCTGGTAGTCGGTTGCTATGTCCATTCCGGACATCAGTGCAGAAACCGTTCCAAAAGCGTTTCTGAAGCATTGGGCGTCTAATTCCGTTCCTTGGCACCAAGCGGATTGGAACGACGGCACACCATCCCCAGGCAAATACCCTCATTGAACGTTTCCGTCGACAGCTTAAGACGTTCTCGTGGCCTAGCCTGACCCCTTCTAATGGTCCAATAACTTCCACTCAGTGACTTTGCCCTTTACTTCACTTTCAAGGCAGACGCTGGTTGCAACGCAACTGATATCGTTAATGGAAATTCCCTGTCACTGCCCGGTGAGTTAGTCTTTCCTCTAAATATAGTAGCAGCTTTTGGTCCTTTCAGCGATGTGAGCCGACTACACAATGCGTCCGAACTTCCCGCGCAACGCTCCCCCGGGCATCACCGTCCAGATCCACCATCACTACCGACCTGGACGCGTGCGACTTTGTCTTGGTTCGGTATAATGCTCTTCTTTGGCCACTCTAAGCACCTTATGATGGACAGCACACAACAGTATCGCGACAGGGAGGCTGACATCGCCAAAACTAACCATGCCAAACAACATTACGACGGGGGCAAGGAACCGATCTCACCCCAACAATGTTCCCGACTGCAGACGATGACCTCGGAAACCGCCTACTGGCAACAGGCACTTTCTATTCGCGACAGAAGATCCGGTCGTCATGTGCACTGGTTTAACAGACTTGTGCTCGGCTAGCGTATCAAGCACTTCAAATCGTCTGATGTCTGAAGAGAAGGGAGCTGTAGCAGCCGCTCCAGAGTCATCTTTTCTGACTCCTGTTTTTTTTCAGTCGACGGCCGCAACAAACGTGCTAACTGGCAGACGGCCCGCTAACATAAGGCCGCTTCCAGACACGACCTGAGGTGACTCTTGTCCAGCTGCTCTGAGCCATGGCTGCGTCCACGATTGGCGCCGCCTCACGCGCCTCGGCCGGCGTGGTTTGCAACCCACGGACATTTGTAATTCTGAGCCGCGGACCCAGTCCCCAAGCCAACAAATCACATGTCCGAAACCAAAGTGATCATCCCCTCATGCTGACA